TCCTCCCTTCCTTCTTTCCTTCTTTCTCTTTTCTCTCTCTCTCTCCTTTCTTCCTTCTTTCTTTCAAAAAGTATTCAATCTCTCTCTTTAAAAATATACTAACAACTTAAGGACAGTCTGCATACATATGGAAGAATTAATTAGATATATTCATCAAAGTAACCTTGTTTCAACGTGTCCCTGATTCACTTTCACTGCCTTATAGCTAAACCATGGCTCATTCTGGCTGATACCAGGTCAATGACATAGCAAATCGAAGTGATAATCTTTATAATTTAAGTAGAGAAAAAAAATCAACCTGCTGTTGAGGGAGAAACGGTGCTTATTATCTGAACTGTCTATCTGACAGAATTTATTGGATAATTGGCAGCTCCTAATTTTCATATCACTTCACTCGAAAAGTAGATATAAATTATGTGATTTAAGGAGTAAACTTGCTTTTTATAATCCATACAAAAGATAACTAAATTGTAATCATTTAAATCACTTACTGAATTTAAGGGTAAATTATTTGTTTTTATTTGTCTCTGTGGAGAAATTCTAAGGCACATAAATCAACCTGTTCTTTTCTTATTAAATGTAATATGGAGTATGATTGCTTTCTTTGCTCCACATTACCTTTAAATTAAAATTTGCCTTCATCCCTTGGCAAACTGCATTTGTTTATTTCGTTTTCGTTTTAAAAATCAATTCCTCATTTCTTCCTGGCTGAAGACTTCATAATTTTAGTCTGTACGACTCAGATATTCCCATGTGACATTAGTTGCTTTTCTTCAAAATAAGGGATCAAACTTTCTAAAGGCAGCCCTAAAAATGAGACATGACTCCTAATATGCATAAAATCTTTTCAAAACTATAGACTGGTTAGATACAAAGATTTGATATTTAAAATTATCATTTGATTCTTATGTATATTCCTTTAATGTTACAGAGTTATCTTATTCTGACTCAAGTAGCTAACAAAATCATGGCATGACACTCTTGATGATAGCTCCCAAATTTCACTTCAGAAATTCAAGAGTAGTCTCCTTTTCCTATTTGCAAAGTTTAACAAAATTATAGTTTCCTAACTTTAGGAACTGCTTTGAGATTTATCTTTTTAAGAAGTTCAATTTCTTAGCAGTGTGATAATGTAACCTGTTAAAACTTAGATTGAAAATATTTAATTTTGCTTATTGTTATACCACATTTTGAAGCTTATATTTGATAGTTCCCTGATACAACTATTTGAAAATGAAATTTTTAAAATGGTACTAAATGATGAAATATTACTTAAATACAAATTGTACCATTTAGTCTAAATGTTTTGAATAAAAGTTTTGAAGAAAAATTTCAAAACACTCATGCAAAACCGTAAGCATAAATTTTCTAAGTGTTTTAGAGAATACTGTCTCATTGATTTTCATTCCTCTAGTTCCAGTTTCTTTAATGTAACTAGCATTTCACTTTCCCTCACGTATTAAGGCACTAACCCCAACTGAAATGAATTTGGGTTTTATCTACACGTCCACATATACAATGTAAGCTATATTACGTGAGGAGGGAAAAAAGGTTATATTTGCCTATATTAATTATTGTAGCAATGACCATTTATAAATTATTAGGGATTGGATTATATTTTTAATTTGAAAATAAAAGCTCTGTTGTCTCCTCTGAATATTCAAGTGGTCTGTTTGACAATGTATGTGACATAAGACTCAATTTCAAATCACTGAACTCTGTGATCATGAATGTGCAAAAACTTGACCATTCAAATTCCAAGTTGCAATCTATGCCTCACCAAGTTAATTAATAAAATAAAAATGTATACAGATTTTGTAAACCTCACTGAAATAATTTTGACCTATACTCTCAAATGTCATGTATAACTAAGTATTCCTCTCAACTGTCCATTTGTGGTTAAAATAGCTTTAAACTAATAAATTCTATTTTCATTAATATTTATCTCAAAGCTTTAAGATCACTAACCATCAAAGAATCAGTAGTAGGGGGCAGAGAGAAGATGGTTTCTTGTGTATAGGTAATTTTTAATTGGTTTTAACTTTCTTCTCTTTAGAAAATGAGCAGGTATTCCATGGGCAGTGGTAAAATAAAACTCTGCTAGAACACACAGAACGTATGCCAGTGAAAACTTCTGGATTCTCATGGGCACTTAGGCATATTGGCTTTTTTTCCCCCTTCCCATGGATCTTCAAGGAACTCTTTAATCTAAAAGAATACTTTCTTTCAGCTTTCTTTGCAAAATAGAAAAGTACTTAAGCAAAAGTACTTATACAATCTAAAAAAGAATACTAGAAAATATTTTACTTCATAAAACTAACAAATGTACCAAGGAGGCCTTTGGGAAAAGCTGACCACATAGATCCTGTAAATGCCCCAGCACGTTTTAATTGTACTCACAGTGCAGGGGTGAATATTAAATTGGTTTCAAAAAAAAAAATTAACCAGCTCAAAGGATACAATGTATTTTAAAACGCTCTAAAACATTGTTTAAAATGATACTTTCTAATTCTTTGAATAATTTCTAGATTCTCAAAAAGAAAAACAAATTATTAGCATTGTCTATCTTAACATTTTGCAGTTTAGAAGGAAAAACATATTATTAACATGAAGATGTTTGAATATCTATTTTATTTTCAGCTGCACATAATTGTTATTTAAAAAGACTCTTTGAGGCCAAATTTAGTCTATTGGCTTTGAGCCTGCAGAATTTTGTAAAGTCTAGTGAAAGCTCTAATGTTTTCAGTGATCAAAGCAAAAATTGTAAAGCTATTTTTCACACTTTCAGAAACTGTTCATACATAGTTTTTCTAATAATATAAAATACATTGATTTTATTGCTACAACTATGAAAGTCTACATCTGGGTAATCATGCCTTTTAATGATCATACTTCAATGTATTTCAATGGCTTACTTGTCAAAAACACACATGTTCTGTCTACATTTAAACAAATACTTAATCCTGTGCCTCCTTCAAAGGGAGTTGAAATCAATGTACCTACAGTAGAGAAATTCAGTTTTTCTAGTATCAGAAAACATTAAGGTTAAAATTTTTGTGTGAGCTGAAAATGGACCCATCACTTGGGCCTAATACATAAATATATTTAGGCACAAGAGGACAAATGCCCTGTAAGAGAAAGTACTTACATATGTACAAGAGAGTAACAGGACAGCTGTTATGGAAACAATCCTTGTGAATTTCCTAACTTTTATGTCCACAAGCTCACAACCATTTAATTGTATTTACTTGCCTCTTTTAAAATAACACCTTAAAATCTATGCTCAAGCATTAATGCTTTCTTTTTCGACACTAAACTGAGTATGATTACAATTATCAACTCAAATTCTGTTAGAGTATGAACAATCAATGTTAAGCAAGGTCGTAAAATATTTGTGTAATAAACATAGTGAGCTTGGGTGTTGTTAATATTGTTTAACATTTACACAACTCTGCCCTGTAAAATATCCCCTATGTAAATCAGATATCTGGAAATGTTTCAACTGACGTTTTACTACTGATGAGAAACAAGGAGTTTAGAAAGAAAATGAGAGATGGGAAGAAAAGATGAACATGATTAATAGGTGTTTGTTTCCTAAAGACTGTAGGGAGACTCAAATCCTTCACTGCTCCTATATGCTCACCCAAAGTGAAGAGCTAGTTCACATGCCTTTCAAAGTTTTCAAAGGAGACCTGAGTAGTTACTCAATCTGTTACTGATGCTAAATTAGTCCATTTGCGTCCTGTTGTGAAATCAGGTGCTCTCTATGTATGGGTGCAAGGTTGAATGTTGACTGTATTCATTACAAACAATAGGTTTTCAAATCAGCACCTAAATTATGCCCAGAAAAGTGTTTCATGTTGAATATTTCAAATAGTCGCTCCCGAAGACTAAAACATCCTTTTCTTTATCCCTCCCCTCCACCTAAAGAACTTGCATTTTGACTTTTTAAATTCTTTTGATCAAAAATGCATAATCTACTTTCCTTCCCGTTTTTTTTTTTTTTTTTTTTTTTTTAAGAATCACGCTTGTTCTCCACCTTCGTAGAAATATAAAGGGGAAGTTAAACTTTATACAATGTTTGAATCTTTAAAGTTATGAGTATCCAAAACAATAATTCACTTCTAATAAAGCTCTTGCCATTCGTCTTTTACTAAGATAACTGTCTGATATAAATATATGAAGATTTTTTTTGAGTAATTAAAACTGGACCCATAGATGTAGTGAGTACAGCAGCACAAAATTTGTATCAGTTTGCTTTTGAAAGGTATTTATTTGCAGCGGCATATAAAAATTTTAATTCTCTCAGGTATGTTCGTGAATAATTTATTAATCCCTCAATTGTTGAAGTGCAGTACGTACACATGCGCACTGTATGGATGTGTATATGTGTGTATATACACACCCCTCCATGCAAGAAGGAATCAATTGCCGTATTCCAGAAATGACAATGAGAAAGGAAAAATAATTACATAATTAGATGTCTACAGTTTCACTCAGTGCTGAGGGGTTAAGCTGTTGAGTAAAAAAAAAAAACCCCAAACCCAAAAAGCAACCAGTTGCCTTAAATTGGAGCGTCCCGCAGGCTTTCGCGCTGAGCGAGGAGCGGGGCAGGCGCAGTTTTCGGGGGATGTGGGGGCGGGGATCGCGACACCTTCCAGCGCCTCCCGAGGGGGTCCTTCAGGGGACGCTCCCGCGGACCCCGCAGGCGCGGGTGACAGTCCGAGGTGAGCGCCGAGCGGCCGAGAAGCACCGAGCGCGTCCACAAAGCGCCCGGGGCCGCCCCTCTCGCGGAGGCGCGGCAGCTCTGGCGGCGGGCGCAGAAGGGAAGGCTGGACGGCAGCGGCGGCCGGC